TTTCAATTCTTTTCAGAAAACACTACAATACATTGTCTAATACTCGGTCGTGGGATATTTTAGACCACGTTTTATGACCGTGAAAATGTACGTATGCATTTTCTTCGTCGTCAATACAGTACGTTGCCAACAAGCCTGCCTGCTTTTGTTACCTGCAGTGGTATTGGACTTTCTTTAAAGGGTTGATTTAAACTCCTCATAACGCTGCATAATTAGCATGCAGTCTTCCTCCGTGAAACATATGGAGATCGCGCTATGAGTCAAACGGTGCCTTGCCTTGCCGAATGTGCTCCATATATGTGAACGCGCACAAACTCCAATGCAGTTAACACCGATTTAACAAATCAACTTCTTAACTGGAGTCGTAGTACTGATTAGCCCCGATGGAGTCAACATGATTTTGTTAACCTCGCGTTCGCAAATTACCTCGGGGTTAAGTCTGATTTGGTTAAACCCCCTTCGTAGTACAGGCCACTGTATGTCAAATTTTCAGTAAATGATTAAACCAACTACGCCATGTGCGATGATTGATTTACAGGGCCTTTATGAGGAGAAAAGGCTGCAATGTGTCACGGTGGACGTGTGGGACTCTTCCACACTCACTTCAGAGAGACAGTAGTTCATGTGGGGTGTTTGTGTGCAAGGTAAGCATCAATAAATGTTTTGGTTATTACCAAATATTTAAAAACAAAAATATAACATGATTTTAAGTTTGTGAAGTGACTTGAGCATAACCAAAATTAAATGTTTGAATATATTTTTAGTTTGCAGAAAGACTTTTGGAAAACCAGTGTCTTTGGTTTTCCAATGAAACTGATGTCATAAACCGCTTCCGAAAAGAAATGGCCGTATGGCTTCTGGAGGAATCAGGTGAATACAGCCATGTTTATATACACTGGTAGAAGTTTGAACTTATAAACACACACTTGTTTGTTTATTTATTTATGTTATCTGCAATAGATGACATCAGTGAAGTCTGCTCTTTTTGTGGAGAAGCGGAGACTGATGATTCATGGGTATGAAGGATGCAACACCCATACACACACAAACAAACCTATTTCCTGAAGACCAGTGCAAACCAGTAAAAAAATATTTCATAGGATCTATACAGTCAAGACGTGCTTAATGAGACAGCTATACATTTGTAATTCTGATCATTTTGTTTAACAGATTTCCTGTAATGACTGTGACAAGTGGTGTCACTTGAGTTGTGCTGGAAATCCACCCGCAAACCAGGATTTCTTCTGCGTACAATGTGAGAAATGAGGAATAGTGCATTTAGAAAAGTGCTTCTTGGTAAGAAGGTTGTGCCTCTTTTTCCCTCTTTCTTAAAGTTTTACTATTGTTTCAGTTAAATATATATATATATATATATATATATATATATATATGTATGTGTGTGTGTGTTTGGAAAGCTGACTTTTGTTTGTGATATAAAATGATTAAAAATGTACAATGTAAAATTTCTCAGTTTATTTAATATATGTGTGCAATATTATGTTGCTAATTTAAAAAGTTATATTACATGCAATATTTAGAATGGTTTATTACTGGACATAAAATAAATAATGTGAATGGATATCTTTGGCTCAATTTTCAAATAAGCACATATGCAATATCAAGTGAAGACATATGTTCCCCTACACTTTTCTGAGGAAAGATGTATGTGTGACGCCTGAAAATCACTCAGGTACATTATTACATGAGAATACAGTAGCTTTATTAGTACTAAGGTCCAGAGTTGCCATGTGCCTGTTGTAACAGGGGGGAACCAAATATCCTGTATGTAAGGAAATTATGTTTCCCCTAATATTTAAGCAAAGATGTATGTATGACGTCTGAAAATCACTCAGGTACATTATGACATGAGGATACAGTAGTTTTATTAGTACTGAGGTCCAGAGTTGCCGTGTGCCTGTTTTAACAGGGGGGAACCAAATATCCTGGATGTCAGGAAATGATGTTTCCCCTAATATTTAAGCAAAGATGTATGTGTGACGTCTGAAAATCACTCAGGTACATTGTTACATGAGAATACAGTAGTTTTATTAGTACTGAGGTCCAGAGTTGCCGTGTGCCTGTTTTAACAGGGGGGGAACCAAATATCCTGGATGTCAGGAAATTATGTTTCCCCTCATTTTTAAGCAAAGATGTATGTGTGACGCCTGAAAATCACTCAGGTACATTATTACATGTGAATACAGTAGATCGTCACGCATAATATAGTCTTACAAGCAAGACTACCGTTTTCGTCAAGAAATATCTCTATCCAGCGAATTAAATAATTTTATTTTGTATTTGCAAAAACAAAGAAACATTGAAAAGGCATGTGATTTTTAAAAATATATGGGTTGTTTACCTCAAGAGCTTCGTAGAAAGATATTAAAACGACAGAGAAACCGTCTAACTAAAGTGAAGCCGTCTATAACACTAAGTAGCAGGTGACGTCATGATTTAAATCAGCGCGCGACAGGGGGAACACGGGGGAACTGAATTTCTCATAACACCGGTCTCAGAAGGACAATGGTAATTCAACTTATAAAGACGTCAGCTTGCATTAGTCGATGAAACACTTAAACGAATACACGAAGGTTGTAAAATAACATATTTTCAACAAGCTAGACTTCTGCTGGCCACTTACATTAACCAATGCACGACAAACAGTACCATGACAGACAAACACAATGAACAGGTCACTCAATAAGAATGAATGATGCAACCAACTGGCTGCTTTTAGCGTCAAGGTGGTTAAAATGGTACGGTCCACATTAGGGGTGTCTGAAATCGTTTTACATAAAATTTTCCTACAAGGTGAGGTTATCTTTTTTTTTTTTTTTACAACAAAAAAATATTAAAATTACAACAAAAATATTAAGACCGCCCCACAAACTGCTATTTTTGTTTCTTTGGGGGGGGTCTGAGTCTTGATTGGGGGGTACAGTAACCCGCAGTACCCCCCGTAATTTGAACCATGATCCCAGCAGCCTCTACAGCAATCCCAGAAATCTCAGCGGAGATTATATCATGTTATGTTGTGAAATATCAGCCACATGCTTCCTTGGTCTCTCCCTATTTTGCTTTCTACTACTATATCAGCTGTTACTGAACAACGTTCATCAGTTTGGGTATGTTTTTCAATAGGATTTGTTCTGATTGATTTTACCAGTCTTTCTCTAAACCCTTTCTGTTTGTCTGAGTAATAGACCAGATATGCTGAACTGTTTTTGTTACACCCCACAAATATGCCCTTTTCACATCTGGAATCCAGTTTCTTATGGTCATGTTTGTAAGCATACAATCCAACCCAAATATCCACATTTTAGAGAGGTCAGGCTTTCTAATCTGTGTTATTTGCTCTCTATATTATACTCTGTACAGTTCACAGGTCATCTAACAAGATTGATTGGGCGGTATCTGATTTTTAATATCGTTATACCACCCAGACATTATACAGCGGCATATTATATTTTTCCCAATAAAATTGGGGGTATTCCCAGTATTTCCCAATAAAATTGGGGGATATTCTAAGGAATATATTGTAGTAAATGGTATTACAGTAATACCACCCAAGCCTAGGCAGCAACCACCCCCGCCCCGCAGTTGTCCCTCATCTGCCTCCCTGAAATCAGTATGTCTGTGGTGGGATGTGTGAATTTCAAACTAATGATTGCCTTCATGGTCTTAGCAATGGACAATTTTAGAATTAAAAAGGTGACGAGGGTTGTATCTAGCCAAAATGTTATACAATGTTAAATTTAAATAATGCTGCCAGGAAATTAATTCAGTTATTAATAAATAATAATTATTTTTAAAAATACTAGTCTAATATAACTATAATTTATAACTATATTTTATGTGATTTATATATTTATAATTATATTTTATAATTTTTAATGATGATCCATAGTGATACCTATTATTAATAATTATAATAATTATTATTTAAAATAATGTTTAATATGTTTAATATTTAAAATGTGTAATAGTAGTTTAATAAATACATTTTCCATTCGAAGATGTTAACATAATGTCTTTAGGTGAAAACATGTATGCCAAATGTGTGGTAACTGTGGTATAAGCATGTCGAACTTCAAACTGTGCATTGTAAATGCTTCTGCAACCATACATTACTCTTACTTATTTGCATCTTATGAATAATGAATCTGGAAGTATTGTTAAGAAATATCTGGGAGTTTAAAAAAATTACATGAACATTTACCAAACTGCTGATGAGTTTATTAGCCTAAAATTAGTTTATTAGCCTAAAATTTTTAACTAAAATTAGTTAGTTAAATTTTTTGTGGCTTTTTTTTCAGTGCAATGAAAGTTTACTTTTCACTAGTAAAATGAAAGTGCAATGTATGTAAGTGTACATGGAGTGAGCCACAGCGACATCAGAGTGATACCGTTTTCTCTTTAGTTTGGAAGATCTCAGCTGCTTCTTCCTGGGAGCAGGTCTCCTCATAACACTCGCGCTCCAGGTTTCCTGGTAGCATTTCCTCCAGGAAAAAGTTGGCTCTTGGCTGTCGGACCTTCAGGACCTGAACTGCATCTCTCCACTCCAGAAATACTGAATGCAAAATAATGATTTGTTGACTATACTGCTTCATGGTCCTCTCAGCCCTCAAACCTGTTTTTTTTACACCTGTTTCTGCCATGTTTCTTTTAGATGTGTTTCACGTCTTATACAAAATTGCACTATAAAAATAACATTGTTTACAGAAAATAAAAATAAAAAGATCAAGCTTTTCTTATACAGTATGTTCAATGGAAAATTAATTTCCAATACTCTTCTTAGGTGTTATCATCTTGTTTTCTCATATTTATGGCAGTCAATTAGAACTTTCTAAACAAAGCATGAGCAAACTGAGCATGTATTCCTTCACAAAAATCTGAGATGCAAAATGCATTATACTGACATCTGTTACCTATTTACCACATATGAACCGACTTGCATTTTAGAAATTCGCTGTGATAGTGCAGTGAGTTCAACAGTGATATTACACCACTACCTTATCTTCAACACCACAATGGCCAGACAGTGCTGGTAAATAATTGCCTAGGCAGCACCCTAGGAAGTCAGTAGGGAGAATCAGCCAATACCCACAACTTCTGCATTAAGATTACATTCCCTTGACAGAGCTGTAGCCCCTGAGTGGATTCTACAGAGGATAACTTCCCTGAAGCTCCCTTCAACAAGGCAGTGCCAGGACTGTGTTTCTTATTCCTTTGTTCTCCTGTTTGTTCTGGCACAGTTGTCTCCCTGCATACTGACTCACCCCTTCCTTAGCCACCAATAAGCAGTCCATTGGGCTCTCACTCACTTCTCAAACTTGCCTCTATCTCATCACCAGACTTTGTATATAATAGAACAACGTGTACTGCTCCCCCCCATCCAAAGTGAAGATTGCACTCCACTATCCCAGGTGAAGACTATGCTCCCATGTGCCTAAGGAAATACATAACACAATTCATGATTTTATCTGGCTATGAAATTATTCAAAACACACAACAAGCAAAGTGACATGTTCTAAAGACTGACTCACTTTTGGAAGCTTGTGCTGTTGTGAGGGACAGCAGGAAAACAGCACTGAAGAGCAGACATTCAAGAAAGGACATCCTATGGCTGAGCCTCATTCTTCTACCTAGACAAAGAAGAGGAGCAGTAAGGCCTCGTTCACATGGACGTCTGTACCAGGCGTTTTTCTGACATTCGTGGCGCCAAGTGAGCGCCGAATGAACGCCGACCGTTTTTCTGTTCATTTGAGCAAATCAAAGCGACCACACGGGCGTTCAGCACCGGCGTTCGGCCGGCTACGCGTTCAGGTGGCGTCAAATAAACGCTGCATGCAACGTTTTCTTGGCGTCGAAATCCCGACGAACGCGAAGAAAACAACGCTATTGCGTTTACATGGCATTCGGTTGGCGTTCCAGAGGACCAAATATGTCCCACGATTCTGTACGGCAACTTCAAGAAGCCACATTTTACGGAAAATGTGATACTCGTAATATCGGTATTGTACCAGCAGTGAGTTAATCAGCTGCTGGTACAATACCGATATTATGAGTAACCCAAACCGACAGATCAACTGGTGCTAATATTTTCGCTTAAAATACCAATTTAAAAAGCTCAGTAGGCAACTGGAAATTTGGACATCTATAAGGAAAAACTCATTTAACTGATCGATGCGCCGTATCTGCTTTCTCTTTTCAACTGTCTTTACTCATAGGGTTCAACTGCAGTTAAT